AAACCAGCTTACCTTACTATTTTCTATGTCTGATTCACGGTTTGTAATTATAGTTTCCAACTTTTTTGTTACAACGAATTCTTATTTTTTCATTCTGTGTACTTCTAGTGGGTTTATTTTAGGATATTTCTTCATCACGTTTAGGTAATCATCAACGGTATATAAACGTTCCCAAAATCATTACCATTGGGTAAAAAACTATGGCCATGAAATAGATAGCGTAATGTAATTTTTTCAATGGTAGAATAAGATTGCAAAATCGTTTCCCGAATCAAAACTATTTTGATGTTGCGGTTTTGGCCGCCACAAGAATCTGACCACAAAATTACATGTTTTGCGGAAGTAACATTTTATTCAATGTGTTAATTAAGACAACTTACTACTTCCTGGGCTACTCAACCAGCTTTACCTTCTATCTAAACGAAAGAATGACTTTTTTATCCTTGCCGCTACGGATATTAAGGTTGTACATACAAAATACGCAAATGACGCTTATAATATACGATATTTGTTGAAATTCTCAGAAGGGAAAGAGTTTTTTCTAAATCATAACAAAAGGTTTCCATTTCTGGTTGATCGTTGCTCATCTTCATGTCTAGCTTTCTTCTAGATTATGCATTTTCAGCTTCTTCTAAGTGCACATTTTTTTTCCTTTAACTTGCTTAATTTTTCGTTATCTGCGCAGTTTCAAATTCGAAGCAATCACATCGACTACAAGTATATTTTTTCAACTTTTTTCTTTGGAGATTAAATCGTGTTAAAATTTTTTTTTAAACGAAAATTTAACAGGATCATTGTTTGCTTCTTCAATATACAATTCATACATTTTAAAATGAAAAAGACAGCAAATATTTGATTTCACGCAAACAGCGTCTATGTATCTGTTGAAACGTATTTCGACCTAATAGGTCTCTTCAGAACAGTTATTCATAGACGTTCTCAACATCTGATAATAAATCCGTAAAATAATTTCGAAACACAATTCAGATTTCTTCTTTAATCTGTGCTTTCTAAAAATTGCAAAGCAAAACAGATGTTGATGAAGGTGTTACTTCACACATACATACTTCATTCATTTTACTTACTGTTGTGTCTTCTGTTGGGTATTCTCTTTCTGTGGCTCTGTTGGCTCTTCTGTAATATGACTTGTACCTGGGGAATTTCGGTATTTGCTCAATTAATTTTTGTACACGATTATCGTTAATTTTATTAGCACCTCCACTTTGACCACGACAATCTCGAACACCCATTGGACGATTCATAGCTTTTAATGCAGCATTAATTTTGCAACTTGATATTCTCAAGGTCTGTAAAAAAATGGTTTACACACTGTTACAGCGGATATTGTGTATATCGTCGTAATTCTTCTTTTGTTACTGGTTTTTGTTCTTTTACGCTTTATTAGGACTTCGGAAATATTTGAACAAATTAAATCTCTCTGAGCATCATGAGATTCAACATTGTAAAACTAATCAAATTCTTTTTTAGCAATATCCAGACCAATCTTGTCCAAACATTTACACTTACAAAGATACATACCGAACTGTTTTTGATTTTTTTAATACATTTTTCAGTGTGAAGTAACTCTTGTTTTGAATACAACTTTTTTTTTTATTCGCGACTGTTATTTAAGTACTTCGTATTCTCCCTTTTTTGGTCTTCCCATGGGCAAATAGTTTTTTATAACTTCACTGTTTAATGCTATTTTCTCTTCTTTTTGTTTCTGCTAAGGAATAATGTTACTTCTTGTTTCTCCTTTAGAAGTTGAATACATCTGCAGTGATTCTTCTTGTGCATCTTCTGTAGAAAAATTTAAACAATAGCTGCCACTACTTCTTAACCTAAACGCATCAATAAGTTATTGGCAACAATGTTCATGTATGTATGTTGCCAATTATTCGATTTACATTCATTAAAACGCCCGCAAGAGGCACTTGGTCTACTGATGCAAAACTATTATACAAAATTAGTCGCTTGGTCTAGTAATGCAAAATTCAAAATCCAGAATAAGAAGAAAGAGACTTGGTCTTTTTAAATATATCTGGTTAACCATTACTCTTCTGATTAACAGATTAAGGGGATTTATTATGTAGATAGTTTATGCTATTTTCCACCAGAAAACGCCATAATCCACAATTTGAGAAAATGGCGCTTGGTCTAGTGATGCATAACGCCGTCCAATTACCGTAAATACATTTAGATAACAAATTCCAACTTGACTCGGCACTTTTTTTACAATATCTCCAACCACTAACCTTAGATTAATTCTGTTACTTCAGCGCTAAGAATACTTCTTGTAGCTCGTTTTCGAGAAGCAGTCCATGTATGTTCATCTAATTCATGATCAGAATCAATGGGCGACACTTTTCTTTTAAACAGCAGTAATTACTTACGTAGTTTAAAGTCGTTATGCAGATAAAAATAAATACTTAAGAATGCACAACAAATAATTATTACTAAAAAATATTAACAGCGTAAATAATAGTTTTTAAATATTCTCGCACAATCGTCACTTGCATAATCGTTTAAATAATTCATTAATTTAATTAATATGATTATTGTTTTATTAACTATGTATTCAGTGATTACAATAATTTACATATATACTATGCAATAATAGCGAATAATCGAGAAAACAAAAAAATTAATAAAGCGATCTTAATAACACACTATTGCTCTCGGAATGAATAGATACAATTTTCACTTATTTCTATGCATTTAATCACAATCAATAACTAAAAACATTTATTAAAAATCCTTTATAAAAAGTATATAATTTAAAAACCCAATCGGGCTATATCACAAAACGTTTTCGGAATCCATGTTCCATCATCAGTGTCCTAAAAATATATAACTACTTAATTAAAAATAACGTGAAATTTAAATTTTGACCAAGGTTAATACAAAATGTGGTTAATACTTACTAGGTGTACATGTATTGAGCCACTAAATAACTGGGTAAAAACCCGTTAAAAGTTATATGTTTAATTTAGTTTACATTATATGACATTATATATTAAGAAGTTAAAGTTACCAGTGGATTTGGTAACATGGCGACGTATGACTCCACATGAAGTTGCTAGTCCTGAGACAAAGTATCTACGAGGACTTGATGATAGCAACTGATTGCAATGACAATCTTGCCAAGTTATGACGGAAGTCCGAACATAGCAGTCAGTGTAGCTTAATGTGTTAGTCTACTTAAGACAGAAGTCAACGCTATTGAAAAATTGAATAAGTTAAAATTAAATTAATACAATACTAGCAACCATCAATATTGTAATTTTAAATTGTAAATTTGTCCGGAATTTATATTAAGAACATGGAGAAAATTGTTTTATTGATTAATGTATGTGAAATGAACCGTCATTCCTAATAAACCAGTTCCTATTTTACTTATCCACATATCTCCCTCAGGGTTTGGTTTCGGATCTCTGGAGACCTCAGCCTTTTGTAAAGTCTTTTCTTTTCTCACAATTTTTAAATCATCCCATTTCCTTTTTTTAATTAAATTTAACAGAGCTACCCACAACCATTTTACTTTTGTAGTCCTTACATATCTTGTCAATATACACCAATAGTCTATTAACTTTATCTACCCACATTAAGCTCATGAACTTTTTCTTTTTATATTTCTCATGTACCTAGTGTTGCTTTATAACAGATAGGGCCTTTTTGTTCTTAAGTTATAAGTTGAGTAATGTATGATCATCATATTACAAAACCTCGTCTCGACTATCAATTTTTGTTCTTCTCATATAGTTGTGAACACACAAAATAACAACTAACCAACTTCATCCGTTAACACTTAATCAGTTATTTATGTTCATGAACTTGTAACTTACAAAGTTTGCCAATTACCAGGTACCAAATATTGTTTTTGACATACAGGGCCTTATATGCTTAAGTTGTAAGTTAAATACTACATAAACATTACAATACAAAAGCATTTTATTTTATTTACTTAATAGCACTTTCAAATATAAAATATATTAATTCCTATTACATCCATCAACAATAAAGATTCAAGAATCCAACTTCCCACATATGTCTATTTTCCATTTTCCAGGTACCAAATGTTGAAAAAACATAAGGGCCGTTTATTAGAAACTTTTATTTCACAACACTTTCACTTATGTGTAGTTGGTTGCCTAACAATATCCACATAATTTTTCACCACATACATTAATCACTAAAACAATTTTCTCCATGTTTTAACATAAATTCAGGACAAATTTACAATTTAAAACTACAACTTTGATGATTACTACTGTTATATTATTTTAATTTTAACTTATTCAATTTTTAAATAGCGTTGGCTTCTATCTTAAGTAGACTAACATATTAAGTTACAGAGACTGCTTTGTTCAGACTTCCGTCCTAACTTTGTAGAGACACTTTGTAGTAGACACTGTGTCTTAGGACCAGCAACTTCAGGTGGAGTTATACGTCGCCATGTTACCAAATACACTGGTAACTTTAACATGTTAATATATAATGCCATATAACGTAAACTAAATTAAACAGAAAACTTTTAACGGGTTTTTGCCCAGATATTTAGTGGCTCAATACATGTACGCCTAGTAAGTATTAACCACATTATGTATCAATCTTCTTTAAAATTTAAATTTTACGTTTTTTTAATTAAGTTGTTACATTCTTTTTAGGACACTGATGATGGAACATGGATTCCGAAAACGTCTTGTGATATAGCCCGATTGCGTTTTTAAATTACATAGCTTTTATAAAGGATTTTTAATAATTTTTTTGTGATACATGGTATACTGCCAACTACAGGTACTTATTTCGTGTGAAATCAATAACTACTTATTTACGTTTAAATCACTCGTAGTTGTCCAAAAATTGAGGTATTCTACGGAGCGATTTTTAAACACCTTTTCACTTCGACTATAGCTCGGACTCTTTGATGCTTGTAAATGTTTGCATAAAAAACTAATAATGATAAATGATGAATTATTAATCTTCGTTATTTTTTACAGGGAGGGGTCCAGATTTTAAGTGCGGTGGAACTATCATTAATAATAGATATATACTTACAGCTGCTCATTGTATTTCAAATTTGGATACACCGCTGTAAGTAATTATAGTTACTATTTTATAATTATTAGTAATGAAGATAAATGAAGGTAACTGTGGTTAATTTTTACAAAAATATTAGCTTTAGATAGTTTAAAACCAAATAAATTAAAGAGACAACTCGAAACCAAACATCTAGAATTTAAGAACAAGACTGTAAAGTTTTTCCAAAGAAAATTAAATGGATATGAAAAAAAAATATATAAAACAAAAAAGCAGTTTTAAGAAAATTTCATCTATAGTAGAGAAAGCATTGTTCGCTTCCTATAAAGTTTCATGCAAAAAAGAATGTAAAAAAACGCACTCAATTGTCAATAGATATTCTAAAAACAATGTTTCGGATATCTGTAGCTAATCAGGTGCGTCAGATTCCTGAATGCCTCAAGAATTTATGATCTGTCATGAGATTTTTTGAATATTTTATGACAAATTTTGGCACAAGTAAATTAGCAATTCAAGTTGACGAGCCAACAAATGTTATTAAATATTCCTATTTAATAGGCTATGTTCGATTGGCTGATGATTAAAATAATGAGTTTAAAGAAGTTTTGGTGTGTTGTGGTGCATTGTTAACTAATTCAAAATATGTTTTTTTTAGGCAAAAAAGTTAGTTTGCGAAAATGTTATTACTCTGTGCACTGATGCAGTAAGATCAATGCTTAGAAATAAAGTTCCAAAATAATTAGTAAAAATATTCGGAACAAGCTTAGCATCGACAAATTTAAGTTCTAAATTGCAAAATTGACGTAAGATGCCTCAACTCAGCAGATTTAGGTAATGACCATAGCCTAGTATTATGTAAAATAAGAATAATCCTGAAATACCTCCCACCCAAGAGAGCGGCGCCAACACGAACAAAAATCAAAGTCGAAGGACTAAATAAGGAATCGACGGAATACTTCTACAGGAAAAGAATATCAGGGAATATTGCTGGGAGTGAAATATTAGAAAATTATATCATCGAGGAAAGCTGAGAAAATCTCAAAAATAATATAATTAACGCAGCAACAGAATCACTTGTAGAGAGGAATGGAACGAACACTAACATATCAAAAAAGAAATTACCATGGTTTAGAAAGGAAGTGAAGACAAAATGTGAAGAAAAAAAGAAAGCCTTTTTACAATACAGAACACAACTAATACAACAGGCATACAACCACTATAAACGAATCAGAAATAAAACGAATACTTTAGTTCGACAAATAAAAAGAAACACTGGCAGAGTTTCTCAAAACAGACATATACACAAAAGAAATATGGAGAATGATAAGAGGACAAAGAAAAGAGATTAACGAACTAATAAAAAGGATACACATCCAGAAGGAAACATGGGTAGACTACTTTCGATCTCTGTTTGCTAAAGGTGACGATGATGAAGAACCAACACCAGAGGTGACTAAAAACGAAGAAATAAATACTGAGGAGAAAGAGGTAAAGGAAGGATTAAGGGAATTAAAAAATCACCAGGAGAGGGCAGAATACAGAATGAACTTCTTAAGTATGGAGGACCAGATCTGACCAAACAACTATTAAAACTAATCCAAAAAATAATAGAACAAAACAGAATTCCTCAAGAATGGAGATCAAGCATTCTAATACCTCTTTTTAAAAAGGGAGACAAATCGGACCCGGAAAATTACAGAGGAATTAATTTATTTAACATAACACCTAAAATTAACAACCAAAGGGAAAACAAATAAATTGAATGAAATTATAACACTAGCAAAAAAACAAGAAGATTTTAGGTTGAGAAGATCATGCACCAACGCTACATTTATAATGAGGCAAGTGTAAGAGAAATTATTAGAGTACAACAAACCGGCATACCAAAACAAAACAATAAAAGTAAAAGTGGAGGAAGAACTAACCGACCCTATTGAAGCTGGCAATGTAATAAAACAGGGAGATTCCCTGAGTCCTCTATTGTTTAACTTGATTATGAATGAAATAATAAAAAAAAGGAAGAACTAAAAAAGGATACCAAATGGGAGAAAAACAACTTAAAATAATCTGCTATGCCAGTGGTTCTCAACCTTTTTGTGACGGAACACTTTTAATTACCGAAAAAAATTGCGGAACACCAAAGCAATAACATGCATATATTGATAAATAAATTAGGATTAGCACATAAATTCTGTAATAAACTTTATTATACATACTCAAATTTGTAAAATTTTACTTAAAATATGAAAACAAAAAACATTTTTAAAATTAACAAAAGCGTGATTCTCAAAATACATCATATGAGTAAATACTTCAAATTAGTGGGACACTTGTGCCTGGTGTCGTTTGCAAATTTGCTCAATATCAGGCCGGATGTGGGAAAGAGCTACGCTCATTTCTTGTTCTAAGTTTAGCAGCCTTTCCCGTTTCTTATTTTTAATGTTTGTTAAAGATGAGAACCCAAATTCACATAAATAGAACGTTGAAAACTGTATTAAAATACTAATCGCTTTTTTTGGCAAGAAGTGGATATTCCTCTTGGACCAAGATCCAAAATTCCTGAACATTCACTTCTGAAAACTTAATTTTCAGAGTACGATCAGATGACAACGAAATAAATTCTTCTTTATGGTTCAGAGAAAACTGGAAATTGGCTGTATTACTTGTGCTAAAAGGACTTCTTATCCAGTCATATTTTTCTACGTTCAGAGATGGAAAATACCTGGCAATTGTCTCCTCTAATAGTGATAAGTGTTCTGTAACTATATGCGGGATTTCTTGTTCTTTATCTTCATCACCTTCATTCTGAAGCAGTGGAAACATATCCATTTTATTTGTCTCTAAAATGCGCTTCTTCCAAAATGACAATTTTTTCTGGAAAGCTGACAGCTTGTCCGTGGATGTTAAAATATTTTCATTTTTGCCTTGCATACTTGAGTTAACGCCATTTAAATAATTAAAAATATCGGCCAAATATGCCACTTTAGTGCACCATGCATCATTTTCAAAATATGTGGTAAATGTGTCATTACCTTCTTCTTGGAAAAAAGTTAACAGCTCCGTTCTAAGTTCATAAATTCGACATAATACTTTGCCCCTTGACAACCATCTAACTTCGGTGTGCAGCAACAAACATTCATACTTTGATTCCATTAAGATGCAGAGTTGTTTAAAAAGACGGGTTTTTAGTGATCTTGATTTGATGTAATTCACGACATTAACCACTTGGTCTAATACAGATTTCAAAGTAGCTGGTAGCGTTTTTGAAATTAGAGATTCTCTATGCAAGAAACAGTGCGTAGATATGATATTTTCATTTCGCTTTTTTGCAAGGGTACAAAAACCTTTTATGGAGCCTACCATGGAAGGGGCACCATCCGTACAAATTCCTACGCAAAAGTCCCATGATATATTTTTTTTCTCTAAATATGACGTTATGGAATCAAATACATCCTAACCTGTTGTACGTGCTGTAAGTTCTCTGCAGCATAAAAACTGATTGACTATATCACCTTCGTCGACAAATCGAATAAATCCTAATAAATGAGCTTTGCCACTAATATCAGTGGATTCGTCCACCTGCAATGCGAAGTTTTTTTTGTAAAGTTTATTTGTAACTTTTTCCTCAATATCTGCAGATAAATCAACAATCCTCTTTCTTATTGTATCATCCGACATAGGAATTTTCCGTATTTCGTTTTGTGCATCGTTGCCAAACATAATTTTGACCATTTCACAACATGCTGGTAATATAAGAGATTCTGCAACAGTGTGTGGTTTCTGTTTCAAAGCAATTAATTCGGCGACCTTATATGAAGCTATTTGTGCTTTGTCGGAAATTGTTAGCGACCTTTCAAATTGTTTCGCTTGTTGAGCTTGTGTCTCCAAAAGTCGCTTGAAATAATCTTTATTTTTTGAAGCTACATTAGCGTGTTTGGTAGTAAAATGGCGTTTTAATTTAGCCGGAGCCATTGCGCTATTAGCGAGTGTCTGCTTACAACCAATACACTTGGGAATTAGACAGTCTTCTTCCCCAGTCCAAATGAAGCCATAATCCAAATATTCATCCAAATATTGCAGGTTCAACATTTTTTTGCTGCGCTTCGATTTGTCATCAACCCCACTTCGTAAAGTTCCAGTATCTCCGCTGGTGCTCGCTTCATCATCATTAATTATGAGTTGTTCCACAGTAGTTTTTCTTTTAAGTTTGTGGAACTTATCCATTTTAATTTATTCGTCTCTAAAACAAAATAATGCGGATGAATGCTTCACATTTTGTATAAAATATGCAATTACTTACCTTTGATAGATAAGCCGTACGTAAACGTTATCATAAAAAACTGACACAGCGATTTTCACGTATTACGTTTGTGCAATGTAACAAATTTAACATTCAGTTGCAGACTGTGGCGTGAGTGACTCAGATTGGCTGTGGTCACTGCGGAGCTCAGCGCTCAGCGCTTATAAAATCCAACGTGTGCACTGTGCCGACGCGGTGTTGTCACGTTGGGCAAATGAACATTTACGCTGCAGAATTTTATTAAATTAAAATGTACGTAAGTGGCTATTTTAAAATTTGAAAATATTTATTTGAAAAGAGTAATTTAGCAAAATGGTATGTAGGATTGCGAGTATTTCGCGGAACACTTGGAAGGAATTCGCGGAACACTAGTGTTCCGCGGAACACCGGTTGAGAACCACTGTGCTATGCAAATGACGTAGTACTACTCTCTTAAAGTGAAGATGATTTACAACGTATGCTGTACCAATTTATTATAACCGTCAGAAAAATTAACATATTATATTCCCCAAAAAAGACAAAATGCATGGTTACAACAGCAAATTTACCGAGATGTAAATTTTAGCTGGAAGGTCAGATAATAGAACAAGTGATAAAGTTTAAATATCTATACAATATGGAGAAATAAAAATATCGGGAAAGAAACGAAAGGCAGAATTTACAAAACAGTCATCAGACCAATAATGACATACTCGGCAGAAACAAGACCTGACACAGAGAGGACAAAATGGATGTTATAAACAGCAGAGATGAA